GGCCTGATCATACATAAAAATGTATGTGGGCTAAATGGACTGTAAGCCTGTTAACATTTAAAAGATAACACTTTAATAGTTTAAATGGCTGCTTTAGAAAAAAATCACATCCCAATTTAGCACACCTTGAACCCACCTGGATCAGTGGTGTGCGACAGGAGTTAAGGATGGATGGTCTAGAGAAAAAGGGGAAGGAAGGAAGTGACAAGGGAAAGAATCAAAAAGGTGTGCTAATGGAGCAGGGGAGGAACAAAGAACTTGAAAAGGGACAAGGAAGGTGTCAGGAAGCAATGCAACCATCAGGCATTAAGAAACGTTGATGAACACCATCATACCCATGAGCTCCATGTTAGGGATTGCTGCATCATCGAAGACCAAATCTGTCTGGATAATAGGAAACACTGTGTGCCCCCCTTTAATTACGGATATATAGATCTCTACTTTCGTTTCCTTAGGATATGGTGGGGAAATGACAATTATAAAAAACATTATTGCCCTAACTTAATACAGCTAAGTAATGTCAGGGAAACTGACATAGTCTTTCCTAACGCCCTAAAATTGTTTGTTTGTTCTCAAGATGTATGTGAAGTACTAGCTTAATTATACCACTGCCAGCTTCATCTCAAACAGAATAAGGCAAGGCGTATTCAAACTCGAGTTGTCACATGAATCTTCTTTCCAGAGGCATTCTTGCGTCTTACTCACTATTTAAAAAATGAATTGCTGTGGGTGGAGAAGTCATGACTCTGTTGTATAATGGATGAACATGCCTAAAAGCATATCCCTGCAAAGCAATAACCAATGCATAATAAAAAATAAGGCAGAAAGAGACTATTTTATGTTAGATACCAATTCCTAGCAGACACAAGCCACATGAACAGTATAATCCTAATCCTACAAACATGCATACATTTAGGATGAGAAACACCAATGGCTATGTCAGCTGGTCTGACATGAAGTAAAATATGAGATTATGTCAGTATCACTAGGCAGGTATGCCAGATGTTATGGCATAGTACAACTGAAAATCACTCTTAGAACAGCTAAAATTAACTAGAAAACTAGTACACAGACGCTAGTATCTTATTCTCAGGAACACAAGTATACCACCTTCTGCTTATTCTAAAAAGCTTATCCTGCCATTACTTGTTTAACTTGCGCCCACCAAATGCCTGCCCCAAAGTTGTATACTACTTCTGAAACAGGTCCAGCCTCTAATAATTAGTACCATCCTACATTTCTCCACATGATCCTTCCTAATTGCCTCAAATGTACAATGAGCAGGATCCCAAGGGGGAAATTCCAGGAATCAATAGAACTGTTTATAAGCAGTCCTACACATAGCTGCAAGGTCTGCATTTGATCTCTGGCTAAAAAGTCAGCCAAGTCTCATCACCATTACTGAGTGGGAACTAGACTGGTTCCTGCAGTTCTGCACTACTGAAATTAGCACTGAAATTACATTACACTGAATATTTTTCACCACTTTTGTAAACATTAAGATGGCTGATCTCTTATGACTGACTTCTCTTCTACTACCAAAGCAATCTGTGATAATAACATACCACTGCCACTACATTTAACAACTAAAAATATTTCAGAGTTTATCCAACGACCTATTTTTTCTTGAAGGTACTTTCTCTCTTTAAAAATAAAAGTGCAGCTGCATATAACTTCACAGTAAAGAGCCAAGCCTCATACTATGAAAAAATCATTTTCTTAATTGAAGCAGGCTGGTACAGAGTAGCAAATATAGCCTCATCAGCAACTATTTTTGTGGATGATTCATCTACTGACAAAAACACCTTCATCCCATCAAATCATTTATCAGTAATTTCAGTATCTCACCATCATCCACCCCAAAGACAAGAGAAAAAAACCTGACACAAGCCAACTGCTTAGTACATATTCACTTACAGTAAGCCTTTCCCAACAGGGGAGAACCGGCCATCTAACTTACAGAGGAGTATTCTCTTGGGCCACTGCTTTAGAAGACCACTGGTGGCCAGGAGCAAGCAGTGTTAAGTTCTAGAAACTCCACAAGAGCGTCAGGGGCCAGTCACCTCGGATGAATGGTACTATCGGCAATGGTGATGTCTGTCACCAACTATCTTTTCTGCTCTGCTGCCAGTTTTCAGGAAGAAGCAATGGGTGAACTAATGCCCATTTTTGGTGAAGCTGAGCTCAGTAGCCTCTACAGGGACTAGCTTGTAGTACCACAAGGGCAACTTGCCTTAGCTTGCTACAGGGCTATTTTCACTTCCCAATCCACTCCTGCTCCCAACTCTCTGTGAAATCACACTACATGAGACAGCTCCCATACTCCTGAAGACACACATTAAAAGGGACCCAAGACTTAATTTCAGTTGCTTCCAATCACTACAACTAAAATTGCAGCTAGCTCAAGAGGATGGTGCGAAAGCCCAACCCATCCTTTTTACATACACTACCCCCCCTCCACTGCTCACTCTGTCATTTCAGGCAGCAAAGAGAACACCCCTCATGAGTACCCAGAGGTCAGGAAGCATCCATCAAGGGACAGTTTTGGCTGAGATGCCTCTATCTTGTCAGACAAAAATATTAGATTTATATACAGTAACCCCTGCTCATCCATAAAGATCACTGAGTTGCCTTCCAAAGCCACCATCTTCAAGTCAGACCCACTTCACCATAAATCAATAATAAACTGCCTTAATGCTGCTGTGCTCACTATCAAAATAGCAGTCTGCTGAAGTCATAGCGAGCAGTACTTTGCTCTGTAGACTCATATGCTGATACCCAATCACAGACATCTTCTATCTTCATTTATTCCTCCTACACTAGTCATATAGTTCAAGAATATGTTCATGCATTACTTTCAGGTTTTACCACCCCGTAGATATACACATTGTGACATATGTGACACAATGTAAAGAGTGTATAATTCATCTACCATCTTTCAGATGCACTGACATAACAGTAGGGATCCAAAGAGCAGCAAAAGGTGTACTGTCAAAGCAGAGAGGCTTTTCAGCTCTGACTCTCCTGAAAACTCCCTCCAAATGTCAGAAGCCCTCCACAGAAGCACAGCATGCATACCATAAAGTCAAACACACAAAAACACTTGTGTACACCACAGGCTGTATGCCTCTCAGAAGCACTCACAATGCACCATCCATACTGTGTTGTAACTTTGGAAGGATTTACAAAAACAGTTTATGGATTGAGGAAAATTACTGATGGGGAAATACAGACAGAAAAATTCTGTCCATTTGTGCACCCTAGGAAACTTTTGGGCATCATGGTTTCTTCAGGCATGGTGAGCTACTGGATCAAAAAAGTATTTTATATTATATCATAGGGGAAAAATTGTTATATACTTAAACACTGAATGCAACAAAATGTAAACTTCTCTCACTACAGAAGAATTATTAAGGAGAATCACCATATTTTGCCCCAACTAAAAGTGTTCTTTAAAATGTCTGCCTTTTACTGAGTCAGGGCATTAGTCAGTAACCAGGCACTGCCTACACTACTGGCAGACCTCAGGCAGGGATGGTTCCCAGTACAGTTACCCAAGATAATATTTTATCTGGAGATGCCAGGGAGGGGTGATCCCTTACCCCCTCCTAAGAAAATCCCTTCTCAACCAGCTACTTCCACAGCGTGAAACTCGTCCCATCTGACATCATTACTACAACCAGGTGAACTTTCAGTTGTCAAATCGAAGACAAGGATAAAACAGAATTATGGAAGATAACTCACAATTACAAACTCACAGTTACACAGATTACTACACAAGCACACATTTATGCTGAGAAAGTTTCAGCCTCTATGTCTTGCTTCTTGGCCTTTCAGGGCAACCTGCTTGGCCACTGTGTGAAACTGCACTCGATGGACCACTGGTCTGATCCAGTAGGGCACCTCTTACGTTGCATCAAAGGAGAACTTCACGTTCATAAGAGACTTCTTTATGAACACAGTACCCAGAGACACCAGTCACAAACTCTCCAAGAGACTTTATGGTTGGCATCCTTGGGGCAGCTTGAAGGATCAATCCACTTAGGAATGGAAAGCAGGCAACTTACTAACTACACCATCTGATTCGTCAGCTGCAAAATAAGATAATCGCATCTACACTAAGTTCTTGATAGCATTAACTCAAGGCTAGCGAGCAGAAGGAACCGGGGGGGGGGGGATTTCTGCAAGTTAACCATCGAAGGCTAACGCTGGTTGCCAGGATGCTTAAAGGCGCTGCAGCATCGGGGAAATGGAGCTGCCGGGGACCGCTAACGTCCACAGGATCCATTCCGAGAAGCAACAAAAGAGGCAGGCGACGTCTGGGCTGTGCAAGGAAGCCGCAAAGCACGAGTCTCTCCTGGGAAGGGGCAGGTGGGTTTCACGGAACCGACCCTCGGGTGGGGCGCGGCGAAGAGACAGCGAACAAACCCAGACTCTGAAGGCGCTGAATGGGCGAGGAGGGGACGCGCCTTCACGGGCAGTGTCAGAAGCAGAGGAGGAGGGAACGCCACTAGCCTGGAATCCGGCAGCGGGGCTCCTACGGACAGGGCAGGCCCTTTTCCGCGCTCCTGAGAAGGCAGCGGAGCCGGCAGGCCGCGGGTCAGGGGATGGCCCGACTCACTCCGGGGCTGACCAGAGGAGCCCCTGCTGGTCTTATTCTCACACAGACTGACTGGGGGGAGGCGAGGGAAGGGGGGGTCCCCAGACCTGACCTACCTCCGGGCCCCGCCCAAGAGTTCCTGCCCCCTGCCGTGCTGTCACGCTGAGGCGTCAGCGGCACCCAGCGGACCTCGGCTGCTCGCCCGCTGTTCTTTTCCTCACGCTCCGGCAGCGGCGGCAGCGGCGTCTCCACCTCAGCTGCTCACGCCCGTGGCCCCCGGCGGCGCGAGACAGCCAAGCCCCGCCCCCCTCAGCGAGAGCCTCGCCGAGCACCACCTCTTTTTTTTTTTGCGGGCGGGCACGCCATACACACTCACACGCACGAGCGCTCAACGACCCACCTTCCTTTGAAACGCCGGCCATCGATCGACGGATCGATCGATTCGCTCGTACTACACACCAACGTGCTAAGTAGCCTTGCCTCACGCAAGCGCCTCTCTTCCCCCCCCCTGCTCCCCGCCCCTGCTGCGTAGAGGTTTATGCTCCGCCCCCTCTCCAACCCTCCCTAGCCAATCGCGTGGCACCAGTGGCGGTTTTCCCGCTGGGCCAATGATAACCCTCATTCTTCGGTTTTACGGGCCATAATCCCCGCCTTCTCCGAGATCTCCCCCGCATACGTAAATCCTTCGGGCTCCCCCTGGTTCTTTGCGTGGGCACGCTACGTAGCCCTCTCCAACTCTAGGAGGTAGGAGGCTTGGCGCAAGCGCGTTTAGCGCGGGCGGGAAGTTTGCCTTCGTTCGCTTGCCGTAGCTTTGACTGGGGGAAAAAAGAGAGTTCTTTCTGTTGGTTCGCTGAGCACGCGCAGGTAAGTGTAGGGAGGAGAGACGTTACATTTTTCCACGAACCACTTTGAAATATAAATGCCGCGCGTGAGCCTGGGAGATGAGTTGCATGGTAACCGGGCCGGTCCCATCATTTCGCGCCCTCACCCAGCCTCCATCAGCGCCGGACTGAGTGATAGCACTGTCCACCGGCAGAATGTGAAGGGGACCTGGCAGGGCTTTTTGGCAGAGGGGAAGCCGTGCTAATCTGTTACGGCAAAATAAAACCGAAGTCCAGTGGCATCTTAAAGACTTAAATACAGCCATGCCATGATCTGGATAGCCCAGGCTAGCCCGATCACGGCAGCTAAGCAGAGCCCGCCCTGGTTAGTACTTGGATGGGAAACTACCAAGGAAATCCAGGGTTCCTACGCAGAGGCAGGGAAAGGCAAATCCCTTGTAAACCCCCAGGGTCAGCTGTGACTTGATGGCACTTTCCACCACCACAGTCAGATTGTAAATCCGGAGCAGGCACTCTTTCTTTCGGTCTGACTTCACAAGGTGGTTGTGACGTGTGCAGGCATGGACTGACACATGCAAGAGGCAACAGGAGAAAGATCTACAGACCGGTGTTCATGTGGCACAGTGGGAATATATCACAGAGACTCTCCTGTCCTGTTGCCCTCTTCTGCCATCAGATGAAGACTATTTGATTCTACCTTTCTGCCCCAAGTTTTAATTGTTTTGTGGGGGGGGGTTATGTGTTTTAGCTCTGGTTTTAATTATTTTAATGATGTGGAGGTTTTGTTGGTGTAATGGTTTTTAAGATGTGGTTGTATTGGTTATGTTTTAATTTGTTAGCTTCCCTGGTGGCTCTTATGTGGGCAGAAAGGCGAGTTATAAAATTTGTAAAATTTAAAAAGCAGCAAAATAAAACAGGAGTATCTCAAAAAACATAAGCTTTTATGAGTCACGATGCATCGCTTCATCAGATGGATGTGATAAAGAGAGCTCTGGCTCATGAAAGCTTGTTCTGGAATATATTTTGTTAGGCTTTAGGGTACCACTGAACTCCTCTTTTAATGAAAAAGAATGCATATTGTAGAAACTGGGAATGTGATTTAAAAAAACATTACATATCTGCAGTAGAATTGTGCAGAATAGAGAATGTGATGGCAATGGGTAAACTGATAGCTATTACTAAAACACAACTGGGTAACTTTGTGGGTGATTGAGGAAATTTTATATATTATCAGGAATAGTCACTAAGAAAATACCTGAGCAGATTATTCATGTTGTAGGGTGAAGTATTTTTGTTGGAAGATACAAGTACAAAAAAATGTATATGTATATATATGTTACATTGTTGACTTTAGATAGGGTGTTCAAGAATCACACAACACACTGATTTCTTTGAAGCTGCAGATCAGCTCTGTCTGTCTCTCTCTCTCTGTACCACAACTGTCCCTGTTCATCTCCCTGTTCTTCTCACAGGCTGTCTCTCAGCAGCATTTTTATTAACAGAAAGAAAAGCAAGCTCATTCATTTGTACATTTGTTACAACAGAGCAAAAAGACTTTGTAAGCTAGAAAATACAGTGTAGTTCACAGAATGTTCCTTTACAGGCAAGATAATCTTTGAATGTTGCAAAAGTTATTCGCTCTCAGCAATTCATTGTGTTCTAAGAATTTAGCAGTCTCATGCAAACTCAGAAAACCTTGTTTCCTGCTTGCCAATTCTCCCGGCAGAGTAGTGTCTGTGGGAATTCGAACTTTGACTTGGGAAGCCTGAACTTTGACCCCGGGCATGCCTACAGGATTTCCGTTCCGACCCCACATTACATAAGATTACATTGTTCATTTATATCTTGGCATTAAAAAACCTTAAAGAATGTATACCACTAAAGACCATGCTGCTGTACAAGATTCCCATTCAGGGCAGTTCGGTCTTTGCTTTCAGGTTTAGGTGATAACGTGCTCTTACTATTTAAAAAGATGTCCCTTCCCATTTATTCTTTTGTATGCTGGCAGCCTCCAGGAACTTTGCTTTTCCTTTAGTTCAGATAAGCCTTGATAAGCGGCAACATAAGAACATAAGAGAAGCCAGTGTTGGATCAGGCCAATGGCCCATCCAGTCCAACACTCTGTCACACAGTGGTCAAAAATACCACGTGCCATCAGGAGGTCCATCACTGGGGCCAGAACACTAGAAGCCCTCCCACTGTTGCCCCCCCACCGCACCTACAATCAGAGCATCACTTGCCCCAGACTGAGAGTTCCTATCTATACCTTGTGGCAGGGGTTTTTTTGTAGAAAAAGCCCAGCAGGAACTCATTAGCATAATAGGCCACACCCAACAGCAGAAACTCATTAGCATATTAGGCCACACCCCTGACAGCACAACTCATTGGCATATTAGGCCACACCCCCATGTTACCAGAAGTGTGCTCATCCAGCCACACCCACCTTTTGCTTCTTATTCTGTTTACCTTGTTTGTTGTCAAAACCCAGGGCTTTTTTGTAGCAGGAACTCCTTTGCATGTTAGGAGTTGCTGATGTTGGGTGTGGCCTATTATGCTAATGAGTTCCTGCTGGGCGTGGCTAACTTGGAAGCCAGTGCGTTCCTGCCCAAAAATAGCCCTGCCTTGTGGCTAATAGCCACTGATGGACCTCTGCTCCATATGTTTATCCAATTCCCTGTTGAAGCCATCCACGCTTGTAGCTGCCACCTTTTGTGGCAGTGAATTCCATGTGTTATCCATTCTAACCCAACTGTTCAGCAATTTCATTGAGTGCCCACGACTTCTTGTACTGTGAGAAAGGGAGAAAAGTACTTCTTTCTCTACCTGCTTTATTCCATGCATAATCTTGTAAAGTTCGATCATGTTACCCTTCAGTTGTCGTTTCTCCAAACTAAAGAGCCCCAAGAGCTTTAACCTTTCTTCATAGGGAAAGTGTTCCAACCCTTTTATCATTCTAGTTGCCCTTTTCTGCACTTTTTCCAATGCTATAATATCCTTTTTGAGGTGTGGTGACCAGAACTGTACACAGTACTCCAAATGAGGATGTACCATTGATTTATACAGGGGCATGATGATACTGGCTGATTTGTTTTCAATTCCCTTCCTAATAATCCCCA